GGCTACAATGTCTATGTGGAGAGAAACCTCATATTCTAGGGTTGTGGTTCTTTCATGACTACTATTATTCGGATATTGATTTTGCCTTCTTGATTTATCATATTGGTTTATTTATTCAATCTTACGCTTAATTATTTAATTTCTTGATCACCAATTGAATACTATTTATGAATCTAGAATTGAACTCGAAAGAGGGAATTCTAGATTACATATAGGATTGAGTAGAGCAAGTTCTTGAACTCGGGCATCGGGGAACGGATTCTTGATTAGGATAGACATATACCTAATTACCTTGCTTGGTTGATTTACAGGAATTATAAATGCGTTCTTGTTGATTCTAACTCCATAGACATATAGGCGTTAGGTTAGCTTGAATAGGTGAGTAAGAACTCGATAGATTCTTATGAGCAATATTAACCCTATCAACCAATAAGCTAGATAAATTAGTCAGTCAATTCAATTGAAGAATGCAATAGGATTGCTAGATAGCCCATAACCCTAGATCGTTTTCATTACATTGATATCATAAAAATATGCTCTTTCTCTATTCAAAGTTCATTATTTATATTTTTTATTTAATTAGTTTAGAATCAAATATTTTTAGGTTTAATTCTTGTTTAGATAATTAGGATAGTCTAATTTAGTTAATAGTTAATCACAAGTCCTCGTGGGTTCGACATCCGACTTTTAGTCACTTTATTACTTGACGACCGCGTATACTTGCGTGTGCGTGTTTGGTCGCAACAAGTTTTTGGCGCCGTTGCCGGGGACTTAGAAATTAGCTATNTGTGCTTTTGGCCGCAACAAACGTCGTCGCTAATCTGTCGCTAAAACGCTCGTAGCTAACAGAATTTCTTGATAATCCGTTGCTAATTCGTCGTTAAATGAGATTAGCGACGGATTTTTCTGTTTAGCTACAGAATTTGTCCGTCGCTAAAACATGATATTTTAGTAGTGTTAGCCTTCAAAATCACACATTCTTTAGATAATTATTCCTTTTCATTGTTTACATCCTCGAATTCATCAATTAGTTCTAGAATCAACTCAGATAACCTTTCTTTAGACTACAATTTAATCTTGTCTTTGAGATGAATTACACTTACCTCAGTTTCTTCATCAGATTCTCCAATGGCCATAAGTGTTTGTTCATCCTCATCATCATCATCTGAGCTTTCATCTAAGTTTTTTCTCCATGTAGCGACCATACACTACTACAAAAAAGGCCTTTGACGGTAATACAAAATGGCTTTAGCGGCAATAATAATAGCCGTTGTATCTTTTAACGGCCATTAGTGTTTTGCCGCTGATGCCGGGGTCAGCAAAGCCTTTAGCGGCATTTATAGCAAAATCTGGTAAAAGGTATGGTTTATTGCCGCTAAAAATTATTATCTTTAACGGCAATATTGGCGGCAATAATAATGGCTACTAAATCCAATCCAAAACGGCTAACTATACTTCTTTAGCTATATAGCCTTGGTTAATCCTTTGTTGTTTCTTTTCTTGGGTTGAACCTGTTTCTTCTTCCTATTCCTTCATTCATCTCTTTCCTTCTTCCATTAAATTTCTCATAAAGGACAGTTCTTGATGTGGTGATCAGTCTTTCCACACTTGTAGCAGCCATCATTGATTTGCTTCTTAGGAGCTTTTGACTTGCTATAGTTTCCACTTCTTGAAGAGCCTTTTCCTCTCCTCGGGTACTTCTTGAAGTCCTTGGTGATCATAGTCATTTCATCATCATCTAGATCAGAACCTTCAGTGATTCTGAATGCCAAGCTCCTTTCCTTCTTAGGTACATCCATTTTTATGGTTTGTCTCCTAAGTTCATAGGTGGTGAGATTTCCAATTAATTCATCCAGTGGGGAGTGGCAATATTCTTTGATTCCTGAATGGCAGTGATTTTGCTCTCCCAAGTGATAGGCAAAACCCTAGTCAGTATCTTTTTTACTCTATCTTCTTCAAGAATAATCTTTCCAAGAGACTTTAGTTCATTTGTCAGTGTAATGAACTTTGTGTACATCTCTTGAATGGTTTATCCTTCCTTCATAGCAAAGTTCTCATATTGAGAATACAGTAGAGTTCCTCTAGATCTCTTCACCTGAGGTATTCCTTCATGAGCCACTTGAAATGTGTCCCAAATTTGCTTAGCAGTGGTATAACTTTGGATTCTGTTGTACTCATCTGGACCAAGTCCACAAACAATCCATTTCTTGGCTTTAGCATTCTTTTTCCATTTCATTTAGTCCTTAGCAGTGCAATCCGCTCTTGTCTTTGTCACCTCTACTCCTTCAGCATTTATCTTCAAGGTAGCCAGTGGACCATCGGTGACAATGTCCCATATCTCATAGTCCTTTCCTATGATGTGATCTCTCATCCTATTTTTCCACCAAGAGTAGTACTGGCCATTAAAGAGTGGTGTCCTGACAGTGGATTGCCCTTCCCAGTTTCTAGGTGGTGCACTCATCTTGATCTTCTCCTAAGGTATTAGCCTCTTCAAAGATAACCTGGTCTGATACCAAATGATGTTTTATACTTCAATGCCACACAATAGGGGGGTGATTTGTGTGGTGTCCAATTTTCGCGTGCATTGATTATAGAAGGACATGTTTCTTCTATGTGTTCCTTATACTACTGTTACAGAAATAGTAAATGCGGAAAGTAAAGAACACAAGTATTTTTACGTGGAAAACACCCGGCTCAAAAGGTGAAAAAATCACGACCTACTACTCAGTAGGACTTTTTCCAACACTTCACTAAATCACTGAGCCAAACAGCATTTACAAAACTCTTTGTAAACCTAAGGATTACCTCTAATCTCGTTGTGGCAACCAGCCTCTAATTGTTGCGACAACTTCAAGTTAACTCTAACTTGAATACTCAAAGTACCTAATACAATTGGTTCTAGATACAGCTGAAAGGTACAATTTGAAAAACCCTACTACAATTGAACTAGAATAAAAGACAGACACTCGGAACTGGTTCTTCTATCTGGTTCATGTAGTTTCAGATTCGCACACTTGAATCACACAAGAATTGTTTGCAAAATGCCTTGCTATTTTGCTCTCAACTCACGTTTAACTTCAGCGTTTGTACATACCTATAGAATGAGAACATCCTGCAATATATAGAGTTAGTAGAATAAGAAATAACTAGAGTTCTAATGCTACTCTTCCTTGGAGGAAGAGTTCTAGTTATCTTCAACTTCTAACTCCTACTTTATCTTGGATAAAGTTCTCTTCGAGTAAGGAGTCATCTCCTTATCATTTATGCAACCTTTTCGATCAGGAGATATCAGATAGGACAACTTAAACTTATCTCCTTCACGTGCATCCCTTATGCTCGAATATGTCTGTGTCTGTGTACACTATGTATGGACCTGGTTCATGCTTGGGTTCTTAACTTGGGCCAACAGTATTGTAAAAGTATTTTTTCTCATTTTCTCTTTTGAATTTGAAAAGATATGAGTTAAAATATTTCGTATTTTTCGTGTTTTTATCTATGTTTTAGTTTCCCTTATGAATATTTAAAATGTTTAACTCTTAGCACTAGGATTACACGCAGACCTCGTAAGATTAGTACAGTCTAATTAATTTATTATGTATCAACTTTCTTCGTCGCTACACCAGTTAGTGTTGAATTTGCGACTGAAGCTACCTATATATACTAGACTAGACTAGACTAGACTAGACTAGACTAGACTAAGACTAGAATATGAAAAACGACTCCCGCTGATAAATGAGAAAAATGACTTTTGTTGTCACAAACCGCGGACCATAGCGTAACATAGCCAAACCTTATCTTGCTAATGGACTAATGAGCATTTACGAGCAAGTTATGCATTTGGTACACCAATTAAAAATTATTACATTTGCTAGCTAATATATACAAAATATATATCGATAAATATAAATTATGTCTAATTTATATTATTCATTAATGTATAAAAAATATATATGTTACCGGTTATTATTTTAGCGACTATACTATGTAGTTTTTCTAACATTATTAAACAAGCAATGCACCTCATGTTACGATATCCAATGGCGTAGTTACTTAGAGTGAAGATTGTTCAATTGAACCGTCTTCATCGGAACATTACATTGAGTATACAAAAAATTATATTATGTATATAGATAAAAAATTACTTTTTATAAATATATAGTAAACCTTGTACATCCTTTACAAAATTCTTGACTTCGTCACTGATAATGTCCCAAATACATCATATACAAATTACTTGCAAACTATAAATTGACTACAGGGATTTTTAATGTAATGGTAAAAGTTGTTATTTTGTTGTTGGAAGGTCTCATCCTCAATCTGTAACAAATTTTCTTAACACAAATACATAAGAAAATTGGCGTATACACCAATTAAGTTCTATCCTTTCTCCAAGTTTAATGCACTCGCTTGATTAATACTTCATTTCCATTCCAGGCCAGCCCACAATCCATTGGGTCCATTTTCGTACACCCAACAGAACATAAAATCCAATTCTCAACGTTAATACTCCCTCTGTGACGCTTTTTGCTTTTCGGAAATTAAACTTTTTAATTTTGATTATATATTTGGATATTAAATTTTTCATCTTTTCAAAATAAATTTATATATTTAAAAACAACGTAAAAATATTATAAATTATATTAATTAATAATTTAAAATAGTTAAATAACATAAAACATTTATGACCAAAAAATAATTCGATTGACTCACGAGATCAGAACACTTTCCTCTTTAATTGCGACCTAGATCAGTAGACAAAAGCCACCGATCTCAACTCTCGGTAAAACTAGAAACTTCTTCTCTTATCCATCTCCTCTAATCAAGAACCAATTCCTATACACTAAGCTTCCTCCTTGCATGCATTACAAGGTGTGACACCTTTCAATGCTACGTGTCAAATACCCACAACACCACCCACGTGTCACTTTCTAACCCTTCCCTTCTCCACGTGTCCAATCAAAGTTCTTAACCAGTTCAAACATATATAACCATTCCCACATTCACGATAGAACATATTCTTAAATCCTAAACTCGAAAAAAAGAAAAAAATCTGATTTTCTTATTCCATTATTAGTGTTTTTTTATTAGAAGAAGAAACAATGGAGTCAAAACAAGCAGTGAAAGAAGAAAGAGCAGAAGCAGCTGCAAGATTAGTAGCAGATGAACTCAGTGATGTGAACAAAGAAAGAAAGGCTCAAGAATATGAACAAAAGCCCGGTGTTATTGGCAGTATAATCAAATCTGTTCAAGGAACTCTTGGACATGCTAAAGAAGCAGTCACCGGAAAAGCCCACGAAACCGCCGCCGTTACAAGCGACACGGCCGGAATAGTAGCAGATAATGCAAGACATTCAAAAGATGTTGCTGCTGAAAAAGTTAAGGGTACTGCAACTTCTGCTGCTGAGAAAACACAACAAGCTAAAGATAGTACAACTGGTAAAGCAGTAGAGTACAAGGATTCTGCTGCTGAAAAGGCAAAACAAGCAAAAGATGCAACTGTTGGGAAAATGGAAGAGTACAAAGATTATGCTGCAGATAAAGCCAAAGAAGCGAAGGACAGTACAACTTCTAAAGCGGTAAAGTCCAAGGACTATGCAGCAGAGAAGGCGAAACAAGCAAAGGATTCAACCATGGAGAAAGCTAAAGAAGCGAAAGACAGTACAGCTGCTAAAGCAGGAGAGTACAAGGACTATGCAGCAGAGAAAGCGAAAGAAGCAAAGGACACAACGATGCAGAAGAGTGAGGAATACAAGGATTACACGGCCGAGAAAGCGAAAGAAGGCAAAGATACCACAGTGGGCAAATTAGCAGAGTTGAAGGATTCTGCTGCCGACGCGGCGAGGCGCGCGATGGATATGTTAACCGGAAAAAAGGAGGAGACAAAACAGAAAGCGGGGGAAATGGCTGAAGCTACGAAACACAAGGCTGAACAAACTGCGGAAATTACTAAGCAGAAGGCGGAGGAGACGGCGGGAGCAGCTAAGCAGAAGGCACAGGATACTAATCAAGCTGCTAAGGTTAGCCGTTTATAGCCTTCGATCTGCTTAGTTTCTGTTAGTAGAATTTGGAATAAAACTATGGAATAATTAATATTATGGCCTTTGTTGTATATTTTTTTATGGTATCAATAAGATATTGCGCCAAATTTTAGAATGTTAATTAATTATTACCTATTAGATTTAACTCCCGTTTTCACGGGACAAAGTGAATATTTTTTGCACCGTATTTTAACCTATTATATCAGGAAATAAAAATAATAGGAAGTTAAAAAAGATTTAAGTTATTGATTCCATCTTATATGAGATATAGCTTGTAGGCGCTATGTTTTTTTTATGTGAACTTTTGTTGTATTGGAAAAATGATTTTTGCACCGTGAACATATTTTTAAACCTACTATAGCAAGAAATATTATAGCAGGAAATGACAGGAAATTGAAAAAGGGATTTGTTGATTCCACCAATATGAGTTGTAGCTTGTAGGCACTATATTTTTTATGTAAACTTATTTCTACATTGAAAAATAAATTAAGCTATTGGTTCTACCTATATGAGCTGTAGTTTGAAGGCACTACGTTTTTTTATGTAAAATATTTTCTACATTTTCAATATATAGAAGTTAAGCGCTGTAGGGTTGATGGGTAAGTTGTTAATAATGTCATTGCAGGATAAGTATCATGAGACTGAAGAAGCAACAAGGAGGAGAATGGATGAAATGAAAATTAGTGAAGGTGGCGATTATGAGAAAAGGGATGAGAGTGAGAGGGCGGCGGCGGCGGCTTCCGGCGGTGGTGGTGGTATTTTTGGTGCACTTGGAAGTGTAAGAGACGCAATTAAAGACACATTAGCACCATCTAGTATGCGTGACACTACCACTACAGATGAGACGCGTACCGGCGGATCGAAGATAGTGGTGGATGTCGAGGATACTCCGGCGGGGAGAACCGCCGCGACGCTGAAAGTGGCCGATCAGTTGACCGGCCAGACGTTTAACGACGTCGGGAGAATGGATGTGGAGGGCATTGCCGAGGTTGAGGCCAAGGATGCCTCTGGAAAGAATGTGAAAGTGAAATACTAAAAGTTGGGATCTGATAAGAATATAATTGCTGGACATTTTGGTCATGTATTTTGTGTAATTTTCAAGTTCGTTGTGTTGTATTTTTGTTTGTGTTACCAAGTAAAATATGTACTAGTATGAGATTTCTGTTCGGTTTCTTTTTTGTCTACTTTCCTTATAAGCATTTTAAAACTTGAAGTGTCAGCGCCTGACGTTTATGAGAAACAACTACTTAACATTAGTTGCGGCTTGTTATCTAACTTGAAAAATGATATAGACACATAGTTGTATTTAGGGCGTCTTAAAACTAATCTTAGAACTATTTAAGCCTAGTATTACGAATAGAAGAGAACGAAAAATATTAGATCAAAGCCACCTTTGCTGCTGGAGTTGATCTAATATTAAAGTGCTTGTTTCTACATTCTTTTTGTTGGCCTGAAGTTATGCATCGGGTGTGTACTTATTTGTTCCAACTGGTCAATTTTCTAGCGCTTCGCGCGGTATTTTGTTAAATTTAGAAATATACTTTCCATAACTTANNNTATATATATATATATATCATAAATAACTTTTTCATCTTAAAAAAAGAAAGTCTTTTCAAGGTATATGTGTGTGTTTGTGTGGGGGAGGGGAAGGTGTGAGCGTATATATGTACAAATGTGTGATTTACATGATGTATTTTAATTTATCATAGTGCAAATATAATGCATCCTACATAAATTCCTTAAAGAGTATAGTTGATTTTTCTGAAATCATTAATTGAGACATCGTAAAGAGAAATAGCTCATGCGAAGCTAAGTTTCATTGTTGACATGGGGTTCCTGATACTTGGAAGGATTTTTAAAAGGTAAATTTCATCATTAAACTACTAATTACCATACAAATAAAAGTATTTATTTCTTTCTTTTGTACATTAAGAGTAAAGTTATACAAATAAAACTTATACTTTTTTAGTTAGCAAGCAAAAAGTCTTTTTAGGCAACAAACCGAGCTAGTATATTGTATATAGAAGTAGGTAACCATGTGTAATAGTTACACCAGCAACGATCTTTTGTACTTCCTTGTTCTTCCCCACAATCAAGAAGTATAAGCCCTGAAATTATTTTGTTGCTCTTGTTATCACGAACTGCATCCCAAATATCAATTCCACCTCCTATAACCATTCATCAGAAATTAAGTTGAAGAACTATATTATAGAAATTATATATCTCTTTTAAGACCATGATTTCAAATCCCTTTTAAACAATAAATTAAACTTACACTTGTAAAATGCAAAAGCCGGGGTAGAGCACAATTAAATAAGTACAAACTTGAGTTTATGATTTATAACAATATTGAGTTCATCCAACATCTACAAAGAAATTCAATCATTTATTAGCTATGTACAATATTGAATTTATCTAATCCATCTATAGAGAAATTCAGTCATTTTAGCATATTTTAACACGATTCAAATNGAATCCAGTCATTTTAGCATATTTTAACACGATTCAAATTTTTTATGGTCATGTACTCACGTATATTTGGCTAAATTCAAAATTAATAGTATCAATTCAACTAAAAGTCATACGTCAATTCAACACAAATCTAAACACGCACGAGTACATACACATAGAGATTGTTTTTTTTAAAACAATAATATAACAATTATACATAATTCTCAATGTTCAAAAGCCAATTATATTCTCAAGCACAATGGATAAAATTGTTAACCTTATTTCATCTACCTACTCAAGTGTTTCAAAAGCAAATCTCACCCAGTTTACTGTATGTTGTACTATTGGAACTCATATATGTTACAAAATCAAAACTAAATAATGAGAATTTTATATAGTAGAAGAGAAAACTCTAAGAAACCGATGGTTTAATATTTCCCCTCTTTTCCTTCCTTTTCTTTGTTCTTTTGGCGGAATTCATTAGTTGAGGAAAGTAGAATATATCGGAGGGGAAAAAGAAAATGACTTGGAGGGGAATCAGGAAAAATCGAAAAGGCAGAACCTTGTTCTTCTCCACATGGAGATTTCTTTTCACTTGACAGAGATATTATGCCTCTTGTCGGGAAAGTCATGCCTTCCGATATGTATAAGATGTAGTTGTAATTTTACACCAAATATATCTTTGGACAGAGATGACTGTGGAGATTGCCGAAGAAGAGAAAATTAGATATGTGAACAGTAGAAAAATATTTGTCATTCAAGCATAGGTGTGTGAAAATGTTTACATGAGCTCTGATTTTCTAACTTTACCATGAAAAACAATAACCGTTCTTATGTATCCGTTTTATTTATGGAAGAACGTTATTAAGAACCATCATTCCTTTTCATGAAGAATTGCTCCCTTCTCGTTTTCATCTAATTCCCCTGTAGTTGTTTGCGGTAACTATTTTCCGAGTTAGTAAATGAAGCATTACAAACTTTTGGGTTTCTCCATAAAGGTGTCTTTTGGGAAGGGGTTTCTATAATAAGATAAATGAAGAAATAGATGAAAACGTCAAAATATTCTGTAAAAGGATAAATACGATTCATTGTTTGTAAGATATGCCACATCACCTACTGATGTTTGGCATATTTCGATATGTGTTGATGTTACTTTACCCATGTTTTAACCACTTCTTGATGTTATTTGATCTTTAAAATTCCCAACATGGTTTAATTATTGGTTTTATGACTAATTAAGTTATGTGTGACGATTTAAGGTGTTTGAGTGCAAAATATGAAGAAAAGGTGGTCTAGCTAGAGGAAGAAGGGTTGGATGCGTCGCTTCCAACCTAGAAAAATATCATCTTTCGTGCACCCTTAGTAGTGAAGTCGGCCCATAGCGTCCGCCATAGCATCCGAAACTGGGAAGTAGAAGAGAAGGGTGGATGCATCGCATCCACCCTCGCATGCAAAATTGGGAAGTAGAAGAGAAGGTGGATGCGTCGCGTCCACCCTCACATGTAAAGTTAAGAAATGGAGGACGAGGTGGATGCGTCGCATCCACCTTAGCATCAACCCCTGAAGCCGATTTGGACTAGGGTTAGGAGAACTCTAGCCCACGACTTTTTGGACGATATATATATAAAGCTTAAAAACGTTTTTTTGTTAGAGAGCGACGGGATTGGACAAGAAAGAAGTTACAACCAGGTTCAAAAACCACGGAATTCGTCTTGAGTTCTTATTCTCTCTTTCTTTTATTGATTCTTATGCACTCTTATGAAATTTTGGATGATTGCCTGAATATGAGTGGCTAAGAACCCTATTGTTCTAGGGTCATGGGTATACATGAATGTTGAT